AAAAAAAAATTTTGGAGAGGTTTTTGCTAGAGGGTGCATGCGCTCGCCATACAGACAGAGACAGACAGAAAGCAAGAAATCACCCCAGAGGGGGGATGGCAACGCCGCAATCCCTTCTCCTCCATTCTCCTCTTGGGATGTTGGGCATGCACGCACATGCACCCGGTGTGAGTTTAAGCCACCCGGTGCAGGACTCGAACCGCGGTCGACTACAGGGGAGTCCAGCAACATAGCCATTATGGTAACTGCTGGTCCCTAAAATAAAAAACTTTTGAAAGAAACTAGAAAGAAAATGCAGATTACATCCAAAGAATGAGTGAGATTGAAAGTAGACTTCCCATCAGCAGTTAATAGATGCCAGGAAAAATAAAATAACATCTTCAAAATGTTGAGAGAGGTACCAGCAGGTGGCGTGGTGGTTGGGGCACTGGACACTCCCCACATGGCTGACCATGGTTCAAGTCCTGGACCTGGTGGCTTGCTTTCTCACTTTCCTTCTCTCTCTGTGTGTCTCTCTCTGGTCAACTTAAAAATAAAATAATGAAAATGAGTAAAATTAAATAATTTTTAAAATGTTGAGAGAGTAGTAGCCAACTTAGAATTTTATATACAATTATTACCTAATGAAACAGGAAACTATTCATTGCAAAGATACAACAACTCTGAACCTATTCTCACCTAATAATAATAACATAGCCTAGAAGCTTACAAATGAAAAAATGGCAATTTATTAGAAGAAATTAACATCCACATTCACAGTTGGAAAAGCTTACTACATTTCTGTCAAATTACTTAAGTAGACTGAAATGAGTAATAGTAGACTGTAAACAAAACACTAAAAACTTGGTCTAGCTTAATCTAACTTATCCAGTGCAGACAACATTTTCATTTATATCTGAGTGGTAAAAAAAAGAAACTGGCCAAGTATTTAACAGTTTAATTTTAGCCAGAGGGCACATGCACTCTCAGAGAGAGTTAGAAGGAGAGAAGGAAAGTAAGAAAGCATCTTCCATGGGGCATGGTCTGCTTTTCTATGTCACTCTCCTTTTGGCATTTTGGGTAGACACACAAACGTGTCCGGTTTATCGAGCTGCCAAGTCTGGGTCTAGCTGTATGGTTACCACGTGGGATCCAGCCACTTCAACCACCTGGCTGTGGGTAGGCCCATCAAAGATGTTTTGTTTTTCCCGTTTGCTAGAGGGTGTGTGCTCACTGGAGTGAAAGTAGAAAGAACTCCCTGTGGGGGTGGTCATGCTGCAGTTGGTTCTCCTTCATTCTCAGGATTTTTGGCATGCATGCACACACGCCCGGAATGTTTTCCTTTCAGGCCACCAGGTCCAGAGCTCAAATCACCCAGTTGACCATGTGGTATTCAGATACCACACCACCGGTTGGCCCAGGGAAGTTTTAGTGAATGAATTATTTGACTACAGTGCAATAAATTTAGAAATAAATAATAATAAAACGGCACTATGCCCCCTGCTTCTAACTTTTCCATTTGAAAACTTAAATGAAACTTATATTTTAAAAATTCCCAGTAATTAAAAATCATGGCTGGAAACAACAAATATTCAGAACTGAGTATCAGTGAAAGAATTGCATATAAAAGTCTGAGCCAGGTCAGCCAGTGATGAGGTGATTAAGGCAGCTGGATCTCGCATGGCTGGCTGCACTGGTTGCTTGAAACCATGCTGGTTGCAGGTGTATGCATTTGTGCCCAAAATTCTGAAAGGAGGGAGGGAAGGAAGAGAAGGTACTGTAGCAAGATGACTCCCCTTAGGGAGAGCTTGCTTTCTCTTTGTCTCTGTGAGCACCTGAACCCTCCAGCAAATTAAGGGAAAAAAAAATCCTAAGCCACTAATGAAATACTTAGGAATATGGTATACTTACTTGCAAATATAAGGCAAGACTTTTCTTTAAACTTTTAGGAAGTCTTTTATTGGCAGATGCTTTTTCTCTTGAGCATAAATGTACTGTTTAAGAAATGCACATTGACTCAAAATACCTTTAGATCCCAGGGCTTATAAGTGATTTAAATATGAAAAAGAAGCAAAGAAATGTAGAACAGATTTGGTAAAACAAAAACACAATCAATTAAAAAAAGTCTAGTGATTAAATACTTAGAAGTGGATATTTAAAAATATTCCTAGAGGGTACTAGATAGCGTAATGATAGTCCACCTGGGTTTGAGTCCTGGACCCAGTGATTTAACACTCAGGCTGGTGTGTGTGCATGTGTGCCCAAGATCCCGAGAGGAGAGTGGAGGAGAATGGGTTGTGATATGACGAACCCCCTTGGTGGGGGCGCTGATTTCTGGTTTTCTGTCTCTCTACCTCTCCAGCAAGCACACGTGCCCTATAGCAAAAAATAAATAAATAAATAAACAACAAAAAAACTTTCTCTCTAAAAAAAAAAGTTCCTGCAGTACAAATAGGGGGAGAATGTCTTAATGTTTTATACAAATAGATAGTTGTTGCTTGGGGTAAAAGTGTTAGTTATCATATAATATACTGATTCTAAAAATGCTCAAGTAATTTGGAAAACTGAGATACAAAAAAAATGGCCCAAGTTTTGGTATAGACACTCTTGTGTGTATGAGGTGTTTGAATAAAATTGTTCAATGAAATGTGAGATAATGTTGTTGTGATTTCTGAATCAATGTTTTGTGTAGATCATGTGTTTTTAACATTTAAGCATACTAATAAATGTTTAGTATATATTTGATTATTTTTACACATTTAAATTATTAAAATTATTTTTAAAATATTCTCACTGGGAAACTAGGGAGATGGTTTATACTTGGACATACTTAGTTTATGATCTTATTGCATGAGTTAGTGAGGGAAAAAGATAGGATATTACCTAGGTGAACTTTCCATTTTTTAATGATTGAACAATGAGGGACAGAGCAGAGCCAAAGCAGCTAGTGAGAAGAATACAACGAAAATGATAAATTAAAGCAGAAAAATAAAATAAACAGAAGGTCAATGAAACTGAAAACTGATTATTAGACAACAAACTAGGCAGACTTCTGGTAAAATGAATAAAGAAAAAAAGGCAAAAATTAATATTACAAGGGGTAACTTCAGATGTGGTAAAGATATAAAATCACGAGAGAATATGGTAAATAACTTTTGGCAAATATGTAAGTCACTCAACTTGAAAGAAAAACACTTGGCTATGTGCGTAATGTAGAAATGTAAATGTTTGGCCGTGTTATATTTGAAATCCTTTAGGTGTTGAGCAAGCCAAGTTAGCTAAGTAAATCTGTTGCTAAAGATTTGAGAATGTGTGGCTTAGTGGTGAAGGCGCTGGACTTCTCGCACATGGTGGACGTGGTGGGCTTGTTTAGAGTCCTGGACTCAGCAACTTGAAACTCATGCCGCACGCGCCTGCACAAAATCTTGGGACCTCACTTTTTCTCTGTTTCTCCAGTGAGCACACGCACCCTGTAGCAAAAATCTTTCTCTATTAAAAAAAGGAAAAAGATTTGAGAATTACCAGCTTATAAATGATATGGAGAGCAGGTCAGTTCGGAGATTGTTTTAATCAAGACATGAGATAAGAATTTAGGGCATTGGTAGTTGGAGTGAAAAGAGGGTATAGAATAAACATATAGATAAGCCTATTAGCGATTAAGTAATATCTTATATAACACTTCTCATAGATTTTCAAAGTGTAATATTTTTTTCTAGCCAGCTAATAAGATTTTTTGGTAGATAAGGAAAAAACTCAATTTTGTTAGTTTTTTCTTAGTAAGAATATTTACCCTAAAACAGCATGATGATTCTCCTTAAGATTTGTTGCTTTAGGGAGAAAAGATACAATTTAACCTTGCTCTTAAGGGCAGTTCTAAATTTCAGTGAAGGTGCCACTGATTTGCTTGTGAGTAGCATGTAGATTGTTAGTGTACAGTTATAGCTGGTTTATAGACCTTAGTGAATGTGCTACTCATAGACTTTTTTTTTTTTTGAAGAGGTTTATTTTGCTATAGGGCATGTGTGCTCGCCAGACAGATAGAGAGAGACAGAGAGACAGAAAGAGAGAAATCACCCCCCGGGGGGATGGCCACGCTGCAATCCCTTCTCCTCCATTCTCCTCTTGGGATCTTGGGCATGCACACGCACGCACATGCGCCCGGCATCCTGGTTACTACTCATAGACTTTTAACTGCAGATTTTCAAACTTTCAAGGAGAAAATATAATTTTCTTGTTATTTATTTTTTAATATTTTACATTAGTCATAATTTCATTATGTCTTTGGCAGGACAGAACAAAAGGTTGGGAAGTATTCTTGAGCTTAACTGTTCAGAATCTGAATCCATTTATCCTTGCTTTCACTGCCTTTCTTTACCAGGCTGGGTACCGGGATGACCCTGACTCAGAGAGAACCAGCATTTGGGCCTTAGCAGTCATATTTCCTGGCCATGTATTGTGTGCAGTTAAATTCAGATTTTCAATTTATTAGTATACTTTATTCTGTGTTATTTGAGATGTGTGATACTTTAAACCTCTCTCTCTCTCTCTCTCTCTCTCTCTCTGTGTGTGTGTATTTTTTTTTTTTTTAAGAGATTTTTGCTATAGGACACATGCGCTCACCAGAGAGACAGAAAATGAGAAATCATCCCCAGGGGTGGGGGGGGATAGCAACGTTACAATCCCTTTGCCTCATATTCTCCTCTCAGGATTTTGGGCACACACACACATGTCTGGTGTGTGAGTTTTAAGCTGCTGGGTATGGGACTTGAACTGCGGTCAACTACATGGCAGTCCAGCAACATAACCAGTTTGCCATCTGCTGGTCCCTAAACCTGTATTTTTTTTTTTTTTAGAGAATGTGAAATACTAATAGAAGGCTTTGAAAATTAAAATAAGAGATCTCCATGTTACCTTAAACCCATGTTTTAAAACGTTTTAGTTTTTATCTGTTCTATAAACATTGTACTTAAAGTAAAAACCTTAAATAAGATGATAAATTGTTCTTTATTTTTCTTTAACAGAAGGTGACCACAGAATTCATAAAAGTGAAGAATTTTTTAAGTAGGTAACAGAAAAAGAAGGAAAATGCCGAAACCAGTAAGTGTATTTTATTACTTTTGACTCTGCTTATTTAATATCTTCTTGCATACTTTAAATAATCTCTAGGTTACTTACAACACCTAATAAAATGTAAATGCTATGCTATGTAAACAGTTGTAAATACACCTACAGTAGGTATTGTTTTTTTAATTTTCAGGAGTTTTTAATATTATTTTCCTGAATATTTTCTACCTGGGTTTGGTTCAGTTGGTGAATATAAGGGCCTGATTATACTTTATCACTAAGGAGTTTTGACACACATGTACTAGGAGATAAATTTCAGAAATGTTCATAGCAGTACTGTTTTGTTTTGTCATAGAGCCTGTGTGCTCACCAGATGGAAAGCAAGAAATCATCCCCCAACAGAAATGGCCATGCCACAGTCCCTTTTCCTTAATTCTGTGCCTGGTGTGATTTTCAAGCTTCTGGGTCTGGGACTCGAACCACAGTTAACCATATGGGAGTCCAGCACCGTAACTACTGTGCCACCTGCTGGCCTCACAGTATTGTTCTTAATATCCAGAAAATTGGAAGCACTGTAATTGATAGGAATGTGAGTAGGTAAATTATTGTTCAGTCACATGTAGAATATTATATTACCTTGAAAACAAGTTGTAATTATTCAGAGAAACATCAGAAATCTTAGAAATATAATTGTGAAAAATCAAACCTCAGTGTTGAACATTCTTTTAAACTTTATTGAAATAGAATATGCACATTCAAAAAATATATCAAAAGTATGGAGTGGAAGAATTTTCATTATGTGTAGGATAGGTGTAGGCGTTATACAAACACTCATCCTTTTATGTAAGAGACTTGAGCTTCCTTGGAGTGTGGTATTTGTAGAAGGTCCAGGAACCAGTTCCCCACAGAAACTCAGGGACAACTGTTTGCATATCTTTCCCTTTACCATGTAATGCTGAATTGTCTTATAACACGATTGTATCAGTGTATACTCTTATCAAAAGAGCATCAGAATTATTATGGAGGTATATTTTTGTTAGCATTTTCATTAGCAGTATTATCAGATTTTTTTTTTAACCATTTGACAATCTAGTAGATGTTATCTCATAGTCTGAACATGTAGATCCCATGTGATTGTTGCCTAAATCAAGAAAAAAAATCGGGCTGGCTGGTGGCACAATGGTTAAGATGCCTGGATCCCACAAGCTGATTGAGTGGTTTGAGTTCCAGATCTGGTAGCTTGAAAAATACACCAGGTGCATGTACATTTGTTTCCAAAATCCTGAGGGGAGGGAGAAATATGGAAGAGAAGAGATTGTGATGTGGCCATTCCTGATAGGGAGGAGGGGCTTTCCTGCTCTCTCTCTCTGGCAAGTGCATGCGCCCTCTGGAAAATTAGAAAAACAAAAAAAAAAAAAGAAAAGATTTTATTAGCAAGCACTATGCAATTAGAGCTAAAAAAGTACAAAACAAGGGGAAAAAAAGATATTTTAAATATAGATACCTACATTTGTGGTAGAACTGTGTGTGTGTGTGTATATATATATATATTAAAGCAAGAAAATGACAGACATAAAATAATGATTAGTACTTACCTTTGGAGATTAGAGGGGAAATTTACAAAGCAGTATATACAACATTTATTATTTCCAGTTATTCATTGGATAGTGTGTTTCATTGTACTATGTTTCATTATCTACATATGTTACATATATTATTTCTTACATATTATATTTCTACATATGTTATATATATTATTTCTTGTTTTTGGTAGAGGTTTTTGCCTTAGAGTGTGTGCATTTGCAGTAGAGAGACAGACAGAGACAGTGAGACATCATCCTCTTGGGGGATGGGCAGGTCACAACTCCTTCTCCATTCTCCTCTCAGGATCTTGGGTATGTACACTCACGTGCCCAATGTAAGTTTCAAGCCACTGGGTCTGGGACTCGAAATGTGGTTGGTCATGTGGGAGTCCAGTGATATAACCACTATGCTGTCTACTGGCCCCTCTTAAGTTATCATTTTTTAGAGCAATTTTTGCTATAGGGTATGTGTGCTCTCTGGAGACAAAGAGAAAGTTAAGAAATCACCTCCTGGGGGGATGGCAACTCCCTTTTCCGTTTACCTCTCTGGACTTTGGGCATGCATGCACACATGCCTGGCATGAGTTTCAAGCTGCTGGGTCTGAGACTTGAACCCTGATTGGCCATGTGAGAGTCCAGTGCCTTAACCACTATGCCACCTGCTGGCACAAGATAGTTTAAAGAAAAATAGAACATTTTAGGGTTGTTTGTTTTTTGTTTTTAAGTGTTTTTAATCGAGTATGTGTGCTTGCCAGAGAGATAGTGGGAAATTGAGAAATCAACCCCCCCCACACACACACAGTGTCCAGGTATGGCCACTTTGCAGTCTCTTCTCCTCCAGTCTCCTCTTGGAATTGTGGGCATACTTGCACATGTGCTATGTGTGATTTTCAAGCCACTGGTGCTGGGTCTTGAACCTCACAGTCAGCTATGTGAAATCCAGCACCTTAATTCTGTGCCACCTACTTGTCTGAGAAGAATGAATTTTTAAGAGTTTACTAGAGAAAGTATTCTAGGTAAAAGTTATAACATATGATAAAGCTGCAGTTGTTAGAATAAGTAAAACATGTTAGAGGAAATGAGTGATTTAGAGTTCTGAGTAGTGCAAGTTAAAGTTAAAAAGATAGATTCAGACCAAATCATGAGGAACCCTAGATGAAGATGAAGATGCTACACTGAGGTAAGATTCTTTCAAAGGGGAACCAGCAGTTAGCGTAATGGCTATGTCGCTGGACTCCTATATAGTCGACCGCGATTCGAGTCCCGGACCCGGTGGCTTAAACTCAAGCCAGGCGTGTGTGCGTGCATGTCCAAGATCCTGAGAGGAGAATGGAGGAGAAGGGATTGTGGCATGGCCATCCCCCCGGGGGATAATTTCTTGCTTTCTATCTCTCTGTCTTTCTGGCAAGCGCACACGCCCTATAGCAAAAAATCTCTCCAAAAAAAAAAAAAAGATTCTTTCAAAAGATGTTAAATTTCTGAGATAATTAATTAGATATTTATGCAAGAAAATAGAGCATTTAAATAGTCTAGCAAATAAGAGTCTGTAGGTGAATGCTTTTTATAAAGTGAATACATTTACAGTGTGAATGTATTAAATACCTGATTTTTGTATTGAAAGAACTATGATAGTGAATGATGCTGAAAGAATTTACAGTCAGACCTTAGTTTAAATACTTGTGACTGATATCCTTGTGTCCTTGAGCAGGTAATAAAAAGTTTCTGAGTTTCTGTAGAAATGAACACAATATTTTCTAGTATTGTTTCACACGCTAAATGAGAACATAGAAGTCGATGGCTAGTGCCCAGTAGGTGTTAACAGATTCAACAGATGTTTTGTTCAAGAGAGATTTTTGCTATAGGGTGCATGCGCTCGCTGGAGAGAGACAGACAGGGACAGAAAGCTCCCTCCCTCCCCCATGAGAGATGGCTACACCCCAGTCCCTTCTTCTCCATTCTCCTTTTGAGATTTTAGGCACACACACACATGCAGTCGGTGTGAATTTAAGCCACTACGGTACTCGAACCATGGTTGACTACATGAGAATCCAATGACATAACCATTACACCATCTGCTGGTCCCTCAACAGATGTTTTTAAATGAGGACTTAATAAGCTCTTTGTTTTTCAAATAGGTTTAAGTAAGAACTCCTGTGATTAAAATTAAACTTTATCACTTTAACAAAGAAATATTAAAAATCAGATAAAAGAATTGTATCATGTCTATTCTTACTAAGTATATTTCTTTCATACTGATTATACTTTTGCTTTTGTTACAGATCAATGTAAGAGTAACTACAATGGATGCTGAGCTGGAATTTGCCATTCAGCCCAATACAACTGGCAAACAGCTTTTTGACCAGGTATCATTTAACCATATGAAGTATGCTGCTTTCAACGCCATGCCGTAGATGTTATTGCATACCTCTTTCTATATTTTTCCATGCCTTTATTGATAATCTAACAATACAGTGCTTGGAATTTTTCATAGTACATACCCAGATGTCTTGAACAGTTATAGGGGTATTCTTTCTTATTTCTACATTTGTGGGATAAGACATTTAAAAAGCAAATATTGGGTCAGCCAGTGGTGTGGTGATTGAGGCAGCTGTATCTCACAAGGCCTATTGCCTGATTTGAGTCCTGGACTGAGTGGATTGAGAAACACACCAGGTGCATGTGAGTAATTACCCATTATTCCTAGAGGAGAATGGAAGAGAAGGGATTGCAGTATGGCTATCTCCTCTTAGGGGTCCTTTCTTACTTTCTCTCTCTCTGGTAAGTGTATGCACCCTATAGCAAGGTTTATTAAAAAAATAATTATCAACAAGTTTTTACTTATTATCTGCTCTGAAAAGCATTGAAGTGGTGACCAAAAAGGACTCACAAATATTCTATGTAGGTCTTGAGTGGAATGGGTGGAGATTCCTGGCAAAGAGAATATCAGGAGCAAAGACCTATGGTATCACAGACTGTCAGCCATTGGTATCATTGACTCATACTGTGCTAGCCAGGGATTAGGCTGTAGAAGTCGGGTATGTCATCTTAAGGAACTTGGACTACAGATCTTATCATTTTTCTCAGTCTTGACTGCACATTTGAGGTCCCTGTGGAACTTTAAAAAAGGCAATGCTGGGAACCAGCAGTTAGCGTAATGGCTATGTCGCTGAACTCCCATGTAGTTGACCGCGGTTTGCGTCCTGGACCCGGTGGCTTAAAACTCACGCCGGGCGCGTGTGTGTGCGTGCCCAAGATCCCGAGAGGAGAATGGAGGAGAAGGGATTGCGGGGTGATTTCTCGCTTTCTGTCTCTATGTCTCTGTCTGGCGAGTGCACGCGCCCTATAGCGAAAACCTCCAAAAAAAAAAAAAAAAAGACAATGCTTGGAAACCATTTAATTATCTGGGCCTGCTGTATGCCATCAGTATTTTAAAATTTAAGTTTCTGAGTAATGCAGTATGATCATGTAAGTAAGTTTTACTGAGAAAAGGAAGAAATTGGTGACTAGAGGTCAGATAAGATAGAGACAATTGGAAAGACAGAAGAAGGTAAAAGAGAAGGTGAGGCGACTGCTACATCTTTTATGGAGAATGGTTTTTTTTTGGAGAGATTTTCACTGTAGGGCGCGTGCGCTCGCTAGACAGACAGACAGAGACATAGAGACAGAAAGCGAGAAATCACCCCCCAGGGGGGATGGTCACGCCGCAATCCCTTCTCCTCCATTCTCTCGGGATCCTGGGCACGCACGCACACGTGCCCGGCGTGAGTTTTAAGCCACCGGGTCCGGGACACGAACCGCGGTCGACTACGTGGGAGTCCAGCGACATAGCCATTACGCTAACTGCTGGTTCCCTGGAGAACGGTTTTTACATAAACTTCATGTACACTTTTACACAAGAGTAGGAGTGGTAATGTTTAGTAAGACTAATCTGATCACGAAGAACAGGAAAGTTTGTAGCATAATAGTAATGCATTTCTTACTAGTAGGCCCAGCCACCGTAGTGCAGGTTGAGGCCACTGCTCTGCAGCACAGGAGCTGCATGTAAGACCAGAGTTAGGATCCAGGGTTTGCCCAAAATGCTAGCTAGAAAGCCTGGGGAATAAAGGAGGGATTGCAGTGTGATGAGAGCCTGTTGAAGATTTGTTGGAATATTGCTATTTTTTTTCTCTCTCTCAGTAAACAATACATAAATAACATATTTGATATTTTGTTTGTATTAGGTGTTACCCGATTGTATACTTATCCAAAATCTGAAAAAATGAAAATTCAATTTTCTTAAAAGTTGTTTCTTTTTTCTTTTTGGAGAGGTTTTTGCTATAGGGCATATGTGCTCACCAGAGAGACAGAACACGAGAAATCACACCCCCCCCCCCGGGGGGGGGGGGGGGGCGCCCCACAAAACCCCCCCTCTCCATTCTCCTCCATTCTCCTCTCGGGATCTTGGGCACACACACCTGACATAAGTTTAAGCCACTGAGTCCAGGACTCGATTGACTATATGGGAGTCCTGCGATGCAGCCATTATGCCAACTGCTGGTCCCCCTGATTTTATTTTAAATGTAGATTATTTTTCTTTAAACAAGTGCTTTTGTTAAGTGTGGGTACAGGTCTTACATCCCAGACCCAATATTTTATTTGCTCTAATACTTCTGAGCACCAACCATAGGCAGAGAGCATTCTGTGAGGTGACCTGCATTTTAAAGTGACTAAAACAGTCATTTCTTTCTTTTTTTTTTTTTTTCTTGGAGAGGTTTTCGCTGTAGGGCGCGTGCACTCGCCAGACAGACAGAGAGAGACATAGAGACAGAAAGCGAGAAATCACCCCCCAGGGGGGATGGTCACGCCGCAATCCCTTCTCCTCCATTCTCCTCTCAGGATCTTGGGCATGCACACACATGCGCCCGGCGTGAGTTTAAGCCACCGGGTCCGGGACACGAACCACGGTCGACTACGTGGGAGTCCAGCGACATAGCGATTACGCTAACTGCTGGTTCCCAAACAGTAATTTCTTAAGTGTCACATAGATGAGGGTAAGTAGTCAAATGACTACTACCACAATTATGATATGATAGAATAAATGTTCAGAGAGCAATATAAAGTACTATGAGAATGTTAGGGGATAAGTGATTAATTTTACCTATTAGGTCATTGGAAAAATCATGAGTATTTTTCTATACAAAAATGTGTCATGACTTTCCAATGACCTAGTAGATGATAAGGGGTTTAGTCATAGAAGGTGTGTTAGTTGAGTTAGGCCTGGAAGAATAAATTACTTAATGGGTAGTAAAAGTACAGAAGAAACAGTTCTAGGTACAAGAAAAGGCATGAGCAAAGGTTTATAGAAGAATAATATTTATGGCATGTTTCAAGAATGGTTTTCCTGCTCAGTGTAGGTGAACATAGACTGTATCAGATATTTTATTACTAAAACGCTACTATTTGCCCTAATACTAATGGAGTGATTTGAGGGTAATTGAAATAATTTTTTCAGAAAAGTTGCTTTTATACATTAAATTTAGGAAAAACCTTTCCTGTGGCAAAGGAATGTACCTCTACTTATGTAATTTTGTTCTTTTGTGTCATCTAGTTACAATGTGAATGTTGAACTGAAACTGATTTTTTTTTCCTTGTAGGTGGTAAAAACAGTTGGTTTGCGGGAGGTCTGGTTTTTTGGGCTGCAGTATGTTGACAGCAAAGGTTATTCTACATGGCTTAAACTAAATAAAAAGGTAAAATATATCGTAATATGTGCATTCATCCCTGTTAATTATTTAAGAGGTGTCATGTTTTAAAGTCAGTTAAGTACTACCAACTTATCTTTGAAAAAAGAATTATGTTTTCTATTTGAAAACTTGGCACATAAAAAATACTGTTTTAAAGCAAATATTACATGTGGCAAAACTACGTACTTTAGCTTTGATTTAAACATGCAGGATAAGGTGCTCAGGATATGAAGAGAAGTTTTCAGTTTAAGTTATAGGCATACTTTTTTCTCATATACAGTTGTTTGCAGATTTAGAATCTTACATATTAAACTCTTAAAAGCTTTAAAATCTTCAATTCCCACTTTCTTCCAAAATTTGATGTGACTAGGTTCAATTATTTTGAATTTAATATTTTTGTTAATTAATACTTAAAATTACCATTCCAGGTAACACAGCAGGATGTTAAAAAAGAGAATCCTTTACAGTTCAAGTTTAGAGCTAAATTTTTTCCTGAAGATGTGTCTGAGGAATTAATTCAAGAAATAACCCAGAGACTTTTCTTCTTGCAAGTTAAAGAAGCAATCCTAAATGATGAAATATATTGCCCACCAGAAACTGCAGTTCTTTTAGCTTCGTATGCTGTCCAAGCAAAATATGGTGATTACAATAAAGACATTCACAAGCCAGGCTACCTGGCTAATGATAGACTCCTACCGCAGCGGTAAGTAAACAATACCTTCTTGTATTGGGTCGTCTGAAACATTAATGATGTATTTTTCTGTTTTTCTGTGCAAAAATGAGTCATGACTTTTCTGCGACCCGGTATATTCTCTAAAAACTACGTTCCAGGGCCAGCAAGTGGCATGGCGTTTAAGGGCATGTGGACTCCCACATGGCCGACAGAGGTTCAAGTCCTGAACCTGGCTTTCTCACTTCCCTTTTCTCTCTCTCTCTCTGTCTTGTGTCAGATTAAAAATAATAATAACAAATAAAGTTAAATGAATAAATAATTTTGAAAAAAACTATATTCCATAAGTGTCTAGATTAAAAGAGATTCCTGGGACCTGCAGATGGCATATGTCACTGGATGCCCACCTGCATAGTTGACTGTGAGTCGAGTCCCGGACCTGGCTTAAAACTTAGGCTGTGTATGTATGTGCCCAAGATCCTACGAGGAGAGTGGAGGAGAAGGGATTGCAGCGTGGCCATCCCCCAATGGGTGATTTCTCACTCTCTGTCTCTCTGGCAAGCACACACACCCTATAGTAAAAATCTCTTAAAAAAAAAAAGAGAGATTAATGGGACCAGCAGTTGGCGAATAACTATGTTGCTGGATTCCTATGTAGTTGACTGCGGTTCAAGTCCTGGACCCTGTGGCTTGAACTCATGCCAGGTGCATGTGCGTGCATGCCCAAGATCCTGAGAGGAGAATGGAGGAGAAGGGATTGCACCCCTGGGTTGATCTCTCGCTTTCTGTCTCTGTTTCTCTGTCTTTCTGGTGAGCACACACACCCTATAGCAAAAACTTCTCCCCCACAAAAAAAAGAAAGATTACTTTTCAAATTTTAAATTGCTAGCTGAATCAGAGTATCTTTTTAAAAATCATGATTTAGTAGGTCAGTCAGTAGTGTGGAGGTTAAAGTGGTTGGATCCTATGTGGCTGACCCTGTGGCCGACCCTGTGACCTGAAAAACATACCTGGCACATCTGAGCATATGTTCAAAATGCCAGGAGGGAAATGGAGGAGAAAGGATTGTGGCGTGGCCATCCCCCGTAAGGGGGGTACTTTCTCATTTTTTCTTTCTTTTTCTCTTCCTCTTCAGTGAGCATAGGTACCCTATAGCAAAAATTAAACAACAAACCAAAATTACTGGTAAAAAATTTGTGATCTAGCAACTACATAGATTTATATGCTCTGTAATGACCTAAACTTGATCTACTTGTTTATTCTCAGGGAAACAGGATAGACAGTGGGGGAGGATGTGACTTTTACTGCTTGGTAAAAATTCTAATACAGGCAGATGAGTGCTTAATAAATCCTTTTAAGAATAGTAAGTGGGGGAACCAGCAGTTAGCGTAATGGGTATGTCACTGGACTCGCATGTAGTCGACTGCAGTTCGCGTCCCGGACCTGGTGGCTTAAAACTCACGCCAGGCGCGTGTGCGTGCGTGCCCAAGATCCCGAGAGGAGAGTGGAGGAGAAGGGATTGCGGCATGACCATCCCCCCTGGGGGGTGATTTCTCGCTTTCTGTCCTATGTCTCTCTCTGTCTGTCTGGCAAGTGCACACGCCCTATAGCGAAAACCTCTCCAAAAAAAAAAAAAAAAGTAAGTGGGATTCTATGTGTTTTTTTCCATAGAACTAAGTTTTTCTACCTCTTTAGGTAGAAAGTTAAAAAGGTTTTTAAACTAGGTTTTCACATTCCTAGGCTAGCACTCTGTTCTTACCTGCAGTGTACTGTTCTCTTTCTAACAGTTCTTTTAAATATGACAGAAAAAAATTACTACACGACCTGTATTTTTTTTTCTTTTCTTTTTTTTTTGGAAAGGTTTTTTCATTATAGGGCGTGTGCACTCGCCATACAGACAGAGAGAGACATAGAGACAGAAAGAGAGAAATCACCCCCCAGGGGGGATGGTCACACCGCAATCCCTTCTCCTCCATTCTCCTCTCGGGATCTTGGGCACGCACGCACACGTGCCCGGCGTGAGTTTTTTTAAGCCACCGAGTCCGGGACGTGAACTGCGGTCGACTATGTGGGAGTCCAGCGACATAGCCATTACACTAACTGCTGGTTCCCAAGACCTGTATTTTGACTATTGATTCTACTCTTTGCTAGTTACTTGGCCTTAGGTGCATAATCTAAAATTTTGAGCCTCAGTATGTATGTATGTATTTTTTCTTCCATGGGGGAGAGTTTCTCACTTTCTTCTTTTTTTTTTTTTCCTTTTTTTTTTTAATTTTAATTTTTAAATTTTTTTTGTAGAGGTTTTTGCTATAGGGCACAGGCGCTCACCAGAAAGACAGAAAGAGACAGAGAGAAAGAAAGCGAGGGGCCAGCAGTTAGCGTAATGGCTATGTTGCTGGACTCCCATGTAGCTGACCACGGTTCAAGTTCTGGACCCGGTGGCTTAAACTCATGCCAGGCGCCATGTGTGTGTGTGCCCAAGATTCCGAGAGGAGAATGGAAGAGAAGGGATTGTGGTGTGGCCATCCCCCCTGGGGGGTGATGTCTCGCTTTCTGTCTCTCTCTATCTGTCTTTCTGGTGAGTGCACCCGCCCTATAGCAAAAACCTCTCCAAAAAAGAAAAAAAAAAACACCCTCAGTTAATGTGGTAGTGCAGTGCACACATTGCCTGATACTAGTATGTTGAGATATGTCTTTTAGAACCTGGAGAAATGTTGTTACTGTTCTTAATCCAAATTCCATGAATTTTTTTAAAAGAAGTATTTCATTTATTATTATTTTAAAATTTGCTGTAGGGTGTGTGTACTTGTCAGAGAGAGACATTGGCAGGGGTGGGAGAGTGTAATAGCCAGCCACCAGGTCCCGGACTCAAACCCTGATCACCCAGTGGAAGGCTAGCACCTTAACCACCATGCCACCTGCTGGCCTCAAATTCCTGAATTTTAACATTCCTGTTTAAATGCAAAACAGGGGCCAGCAGGTGGTGTGGTGGTTGAAGGAGCTGGACTCCCACATGGCCGACCATGGTTCTAGTCTTGGACCTGGCAGCTTGCTTTCTCAGTTTCCTTCTCTCTCTCACTCTGTCCTTCTCTGGTCAAATTAAACATAAGTAAATAAATAAATATAGTTAAATAAAATACTTTATAAAAATGCAGAACAGTATATTGCTATTAAGAGTTTAGGTTTATACCATTTCCTCATAATATTGAAGCCCTTAAGTGTAGTTTCTCTTTCATAGTTACTAGATATGAAGATAGACATAACTATCTATACTTCATTTCCACTTTTATCAATTTATTTTTAGCATTTACATTTAGTTTTGGCTAATAAATGCTACATATTGATACATGCTTTGTAAGGTACCACTAAGTACAAGTACCAAGTAATTTTAAAATTTGGTTACAAATGTTATAGTGTTCTGCCCTTTACTATTACAATAATAATAATTGTCTTAGAGGAAGGTTGAATAATACATGTTGCTTACTAAGACAATCAGCAATATGAGATGTTCATTAGTCTGTTTATATTGTTCTAGTTTTGATTGTTAATGCAACCCTACATCTTTCGTTGCAGATTTTTATTATTTTTAATTTATGCATTGATTCAGTAATTGATGACTATAGAATTACATTTTGGATAGGATGAGTTTTAACTCTTTTTTTTTAAGAGAGATATTTGCTATAGTGCACATACATTCTCTGGAAAGAGAGAGAAAGTGAGAAATCACCCCCTGGGGGAACGGCCATGCCACAATCCCTTCTCCTCTCAGGATTTTGAGCACCCATGCACATGTTCCTGGAGTGTTTAAAGCCTCTGGTTGGCCATGTGGGGGTCAGCACCTAACCATGTCACCTGCTGGTCCCGAGTTATAACTTTTAATTGGGATATAATTTATATATGTTAAAATGTGCAGAAGATTGAGTTTTAAGTCAGTACATATAATAACATTTTTTTGGAGAGGTTTTTGCTAAAGGGTATGTGTGCTCATCCAAAATACAGAGGGAGACAGAGATAGAAATGGGGGATGGCCTCGCCACAATTGCTTCTCCTTCATTCTCCTCTCGGGATCTTGGGCATGCATGCACATGCGCCTGGTATGAGTTTAAGCCACCGGGTCCGGGACTCAAACCACAGTCGACTACATGGGAATCCAGCAACGTAGCCATTATGCCATTTGATGGTTCCATATAACTTTTTATTATCAAAACTACTCTTAAAAATTTCTTAAATGTTTATTTAAAGAAAAATAAACATGCTTTATCTCAGTAAGTAAGTACAACACAGATAATCATTCTTTAAGTATTAGATGAGATTGCTGTGTGGTACCAGTTGAAGTAATTGGTTTCTATTAATAGTCATGTGATTTAAAAAAAAGTCTTTTAAACACTATTATTACACTCAAGCTCAATTTAATTTCTTTATTTTAAAAGTATGTGTGCTCTATCCTGTCCTATTTAAAAAGAAGGAAAGCAGCTGAATTGCTTCAGGTAGGACAGGTTATGGTTGCCAGTGCAAATGCAGTTCAAGATTTGGCTCTTAAGTTTACAGGTTATTTATTCCCCCATAGTTGATAATCTGTGGAAAATTAACTCAAACTGTCTAAGCTTAAGAGAGAAAGATAAATTCAGAATACTAACTTTTTGGTTTAGAATAAAGAAGATATCTATCTTTACCCTTTACAGTGATTGGCTTCTTCCATCTATGGCATATAGAATACTTTTTCTCAGTATCTAAGTACCTGGGGAGGAAGTAAGGAAACAAAGTTATTTGGTATTAAGCCAAATAAAATAATTCGATATTCTTATGAATACTTAATTCCTATATTGAAAAACATAGATGAGCAATCTGTTCTCCCACAGTGAAGTTTAGCCCTCTGGTAAAATGAAAAATCAATTCCTTCAGATATTGGGTTGTCAGAAAAGTCATGATGCATTTTTGCAAAGAAAAAACACAGTATGACTTCTTTGATAACACAGTAAAAGGTGATATCTTCAAAAAGTTCATGGAAAAACATACTGTCGATAGCACAATTTTTTTTTTTTTTGGAGAGGTTTTCACTGTAGGGCGCGTGCACTCGCCAGACAGGCAGAGAGAGACATAGAGACCAAAAGTGAGAAATCACCCCCTGGGGGGATGGTCACACTGCAATCCCTTCTCCATTCTCCTCTTGGGATCTTAGGCACGCATGCACACACACCCGGCGTGAGTTTTAAGCCACCGGGTCCGGGATGTGAACTGCGGTCGACTACGTGGGAGTCCAGCGACATAGCTATTACGCTAACTGCTGGTCCCCCAACACAAATTTTTATACCAAAATTAATTTGTGCTTTAATTCCATATTCCCACCAACTTTTTAAGTCTTCTGGAATACATAAAAATTTACATGCCAGGTCTTTTAACTTCAGCAGCTGGGTGATTGATAATACCTTTTATTCGTCAAGACAGAGAGTAAGAAAACATTTGGGAAGAAGTTGATTTCAATTTTGAAGATATTGTGTTTGAAATTTAGACAGTATATAACAGATGTTTAACGTTCACTAACATGTGGGGCTGGATCTTTTAGAGCAATATGTACTTCACAGATACAGTTTAGGGAGTAATGAGGAAATAGTAATTAACCCAAGGGAAATGGATTTCTAGATTTTTTTTTTTAAGTGGGGGGAAACTGATGATTTTAATTCATTTATTCATTCTGTAGATTTTTGAATACTACTTCCGTGTTAGCTAGCACTGGGCGTATAATGTGAACAGTTGGCTGCTCTAGGTTTTGCGTTTCCTCTTGGTGAGCCCGAGACTGAACAGTAAGAGAGAGTTTATAGGTAAGAGTAGTCTAAGCAGAAGGACAAGATAAGATTCTGCTCCCCAAAAACAAGAGCTTGGGAGAGAATGCCTAGAGAAAGGAGCTGTAGGTAATAGTATTAAGAACATAATGGTCCGTCTGAAAGCCTATTAAGGAATCCACTCGAAGTAGTACATAACTTGTCCAGGGTAAGATTCCATCCTAAGATTCCTTAGAACTGCCAAGAAATCCTGGGTTTTATATAAAATTTTCACATAGTAAAATAATATTTTAACACCAGCGTTTTTGTTATCATTAAAGTAGGATCCAGGGATTCACTGATGAAATGGTAGATAATGATTGTATGACCCAAAGAGACTAGAAACTGTGATCTGTAGTGTGCATAGCAGTTAAACTGTACTTGTAAGCATACTGACGTTACTGATTTAGTGTTAAAATACTACTAGTAGAAAATCAGAATGTTTGTGTTTGCTCACATTCAAATAAGGAACACTGGAAAGATACAAAAGTTATTTGGGGGATATTGGATAAGAGTATGACTTTTCATAGTATACTTTTTTATTGAAAGAACTACTAATGTGACACAATACAATTAAATTTAGAAGCAAAAAAGAGTAAATATTAGGTTCTTTTTGCACTGAAAGATACGTCATGACTTTCCCAATAACCTAATACATAGAATAAAGGAAGAGTCAGGACTTGAGAATTATGGTTATAATCTATTTTCTAAATTGTCTATTAATAATGAGAAAGTCATGTGTGTTTAATATTTTATTGATTTGAAAGATTTGAATACTTGTAAACTATCTTTATAATAACTACTTTTAAAATGTGTTATTTTATTATTTCTGGTTATGATATGTTATTTGATTTGTCTGTTGATAATGAGAAAGCCAGGGCCAGCAGGTAGCATTGTGGTTAAAGGTGCTGGACTCCCATGTGGTCAACTGCGGTTCAAGTCCTGGATCCGGTGGCTTACTTTCTCACTTTCCCTCTTCTTTGTGTGTCTCTATCAAACTAAAAAATAATAATAATGACAATAAAATGAAATAATTATGGGGACCAGCAGTTAGTGTAATGGCTATGTCGCTGGACTCCCACGTAGTCGACCGCGGTTCGCGTCTCGGACCCGGTGGCTTAAATCTCACGCCGGGCGCGTGTGCGTGCGTGCCCAAGATCCCGAGAGGAGAAGGGAGGAGAAGGGATTGCAGCGTGTCCATCCCCCCTGGGGGGGTGATTTCTCGCTTTCTGTCTCTCTGTCTCTCTCTGGCGAGCACACGTGCCCTATAGCAAAAACCTCTCCAAAAAAAGAAAAAAAAAATTGTAAAAAAAAATTTTTTTAAATAATAAGAAAGCCATTTTTGTCCAATATTTTATTCATTTGAAATCTTTGAATAACTATAAACTATCTTTACAATAGCTATTTTCTAAAGTATTGTATAATTTTATTTGTTATTATTTTTCATATGGAGAGAGAGAAAGAGGAAGGAAGCCACCAGATCCAGGACTTGAATCACGGTTAGCCATGTGGGTGTCCAGCACCTAACTACCATGTCACCTGCTGGCCTTACAATAGCTTTTTTTGTTTGTTTTTTGGAGAGGTTTTTGCGATAGGGCATGTGTGCTCGCCAGAAAGACAGGGAGAGACAGACAAACAGAAAGCAAGAAATCATCCCCCCAGGGGGGATGGCTACGCCACTAGGCCTTCTCCTCCATTCTCCTCTCGGGATCTTGGACACACACACACATGTGCCCAGTGTGAGTTTAAGCCACCGGGTCCAGAACTTGAACCACAGTCGACTACATGGACGTCCCACAACAAAGCCATTTTGCAACTGCTGGTCCCACAATAACTATTTTTAAAACATGTAGCACATTTAATAATTTTAGGATCCCAGAGATGTTTTATTTTGAGATCATTATAGATTCAGGTGCAATTGTAAAAACTAATAGATCCTATATATCCTTCTTCCAGTCTTACTCATTAAAGTTTCATTCAATTTAAATGCACTTACTTGTATGTGTATGTATTTAGTTCTGTGCAATTTTTTCATGTGTATTGATTTGTGTGAGAACCACCTCAGTCAAGTTACTGAAAGGATTCTAGATTTTTAAAAGACTATTGATTTTTGAATCATTAAGGCGTTATTTGTTTTTTTTTTTTTTTAGTGTTTTGGAACAACATAAGCTGACAAAAGAACAGTGGGAGGAGAGAATACAGAACTGGCATGAAGAACATAGAGGAATGCTCAGGTATTTGGGGAACTATTTTGTATGTTTTTCCTCACTTCATAGTATTTTGTTTCATAACACTTATTTTTGTCGTTATTGTTTTTAAGGTTTTTGCCATAGGACACCTGTGCTTGCAGGAGGGACATAGAGAGAGACAAAGCGGGGAAAAGTGAGAAATGACCCTCTGCGGGGCATGGTCATGCAAGAATCTCTTCTCCATTCTTCTTTTGGGTTTTTGAGCATGCATGTATATGAGCCAAACGTGATTTTCATTCCACCAGGTCTGGGATGTGAACCATAGTTGACCTCATGAGAGTTCAGCGCCTTAACCACCATGCCACCAGCTGACCCTATGACATTTATTATTACATCACATTATCTCCCAAAATTGTTTGACTTGCATGAATAAACATAAAGCACTAATCTAAGGTATTTTTGCAATTTTAGCTTAAAAGTAGATACTCTTGCTTAAATATATTACATTTAGGTTTATTTCAACAGGGAAGATTCTATGATGGAATACCTGAAGATTGCACAAGATCTAGAAATGTATGGAGTCAACTATTTTGAAATAAAGAATAAAAAGGGAACTGAATTGTGGCTAGGCGTTGATGCATTGGGTCTGAATATTTATGAGCATGATGACAAGTAAGTACTTTCTTAGTGAACTAGTCATTATTCAGTTGTCAAAATAGCTTTAATCTTATGTCCTGTTTGTAAAGTTGTTTTTGTATTTATTACCATTACTGCTGTTTTTTTCAAGTTAAAAAGTTAGTTAATGCCACGTAAGTATTGTATTCCCACTTGTGTTTTCAGAATTCTACTTCTCAATGTATTTATCTGACTTAATTATTTTATACACGTGTGCTTCTTTGCCGCTTGTAAATTATGTCTAGTAACTTAATTAAAATTCGATCCTTTGATGGGAAAATAATAATTCCTTAAATATTATGCCCGAGAAATGAGTTGGAAGTTGAAATGAACATATATAACAATAGGAGCAACAAGTGAATAAAATTAATAAATGTATATTTATTCTATGTTTAGAACACTTTTTTTTTTTAAACACACCAAGGTACCTGTGTGCACTTGCGAGAGAGAGGGAGGAGGAGAGAGCAAGCACCTTCCAATTGGGCTCAGAAATGCTAAAACCCTTTGTTTTTCTTTATTTCTCCATCCTCTCAGGATCCTGGGCACATACACATTTGCCCAGTGGGTTCTTCAGGCTGCTGGGACCATTATTTGAACAATTATCAGTGATGAGGGACCATACTCCCTCTGCATAGTGCTTAACCACTGTGCCATGGCGCTGGCCCAAAATATATCTTTTAAGCATTCATCTTTTATGTAGGAATTGTTTTGAACATTTTTGAACATCAATAAAATATATTCCTGTTATGCATATTGAATGTTATAATATTTTGAGATCTACTGGGTATTTATTTTTTATTATACACATATATGCAATTCATTCATGTTGTATTATACATATATATCTGTGTGTGTGTGTGTGTATATATATATATATATATAGTGTGTGTGTGCATATATAATGTATATATATATAGTGTGTGTGTGTGTGTGTGCATATATAGTATATACTATATATAGGTACCATATAGAGAGATCATATATATTTTACACATATATACATCAGACTCTTATTTGCACTTTTCAGGAACAATAGCTAATTCTCTTATACCTTTCTTTAATTTATTTCTTATACCACATGAACACCCAAGTCTATGCCAGTACTATCTCCTTTTAAGGCATTATTCTTTAGTCTAGAGAAAAATTAGGTACTTTTGCAATTTTAGTTTGATAGTAGATACTCTATCAAATTATAATTCTGGGCTGACTCCAGAATTTTAATTTTCATTATTACAGATATCTAATAAAATGTACACTTCAAAGCATATATGATGAGTCAGTCCAAAAGAGAGAATTTATTGATCTTTACCTTCATATTTTCTATTTTATATGACAAAGAAAATTAGAATGATATATCATTCAGAGAAAAATTTATGTTATTTTTTTTCACATGGTGTCACATGGTGCATATGAGAGATAGAAATCACCCTGTTGAGTCTGGTCACATCACAGTCCTTTTCCCTCCAGTTTTCCATCCTGTCAAAGATCATGGGCATGGACGCACCCAGCATTTTTTTCATGCTGCCCAGACCAAGACTTGAATTCTGGTCAGCTCTGTGGGATCTAATTTCTTCTGCATGGCACCTAGCTGCTGTGCTCTGGAACATACCAGTTTTGAAATTTTTTTAAAGTAAAAAATGATTTAAAACTAATTTAGATGAGGCCTGCAGGTGGTGTCATGGTTAAAGGTGCTGGACCCCCACACGGCCAACTGCAGATCAAGTCCTGGACCTAATGGCTTGCTTTTTCATTTTCCCTCTCTCTCTTTCTGTTTCTCTCTGATAAAACTGGAGAATAATAATAGTAATAATAATAAAGTTAAAGTAATTAAAAAAAAAAACCCTAATGTTGGCATTCTAAATCTTTTTCTTTCTTTTTAAAATTGTTCTATTAGATTTAAGGCTCACCTCACAAGATCATGGTGAGAATTGAGGCAGTAGCCTGAAAATTTTTCAAAAGTAGCATGTAAATGTAGTATAATACTGTTTACCAAAAATACTATATTCTTGTGGCCCTCTTTTTTTTTTTTTTTTTATGTTAACTGGTGGTTCCAAGAATTATTTACTCATTTTATTTATTTATTTTTTAAAATTTGATCAGAAAGAGCAAGAGAGGGAGAAAGTGAGAAAGCACCACTTGGTGGGAGGTGAAAATGGCCACACCAATCCCTTCTCTCAGAATTTTGAACATGAATGCATATGCACTGGGTGTGTGTCTCAAGCTGCTGGCTCCAAGACTCTAACAGCACAATTGATCATGTAGAATCTAGCTGTCTCAACCACCAGGTCATTGGGTGACTCCCTGCAATTTCCTTTATTAATCAAGGAACTTTGAGTTATCTCAGTGGCCGTTAGGGGGTAATATAACACATGTATGTATATTGAGGTGAAAAGTGTTGTATATAGTTTTTCCCGGGTAATTTTAGGAAAATAACCATAGTGTTTTTTAGGTTCATGGCACATTTATGAAATCTTTGGATGGTTATTATTTGTTTTATGTGATTTAGTTTATTAAATTTTTCCTTAAGAGATGATGACAGTGAGGTCAGCAGGTGGTGTAATGGTTAAGGCGCTAGACTCCCACATGGCCAACTGCAGTTCCAGTCCTGGACTTGGCAGCTTGAAACTCATACCGGGTACGTGTGCATGCATGCCCAGGATCCTGAGAGGAGAATGGAGGAGAAGGATTGAGGCAGGACCATCCCCCAAAGGGTTGATTTCTCACTTTCAGTGTATCCAGCAAGCGCATGTACCTTATACCAAAAATCTCTCCTAAAAAAAAAAGATGACAGCTGTATTAGTAAAGTATTACAGTTTGAAAATCTGGAACTTAAATATATTTATTGAATTTTATTCTTAATATATTTTTTTTTCTTAGATTTTTGCTGTAGGGTATTTGCACTCATTGGAGAGACAGAGACAGAAAGCAAAAAATCACCCCCACGGGGGATGGTTATGCTGTAATCCTCCATTCTCCTCTCGGGATTTTGGGCACGCATGCACATGTACCTGGTGTAAGTTTTAAGCCTCTGGATCCAGGACTCGAACCACGGTCGATTACGTGGAATTCCAGTAATGTAGCCATTATGCCATCTTACTATTTTTTAATTTGACCAGAGAGAGAGAGACAGACAGACACACACGCACACACACACAGAGAAATAAGAGAGAGGGAGAGGTAAAGTGAGAAAGCGAGCTGCCAGGTCCAGGACTGAACTGCATTCAGTCATGTGGTATTCCAGTGCCTTAACCATCATGCGACCTCTGGCCCCAAAATCTGGAACTCTTTTAACAAAAAAAAAATTTTTTTGAGAGAGAGACTTTTGCTTATAGTAGGTGTGCTTACTAGAAAAACAGAAACAAAGTAAGAAATCACCCCCCAGAGGGGATGGCCATGCCACAATCTCTTCTCCATTCTCCTCTCAGAATTTTGGGCATGTACACGCTCTGTGTGAGGTTTAGGCTGCTGGGTCCAGAACTCAAACCATGGTCAACTACATGGGAACCCAGGGATGTAACCATTATGCCATTTACTGGTCCCAAATCTGGAACTCTTAAGACTGATCATTCAGCTAAACTGGTCTTAGAAAGTTGTTACACATTTTATCCATTATTTCCTTTAATTAACAAGAACCTTTCTTTTTTTAAGGTTAACACCTAAAATTGGTTTTCCTTGGAGTGAAATCAGAAATATTTCATTTAATGACAAAAAATTTGTTATAAAACCGATTGACAAAAAGGCACCTGTAAGTAAAAATTTTGATTTATGTTTTATGTATTCTTTAAGTTTCTGTTACTTTCCAGTGATGTCACTTACAGAATGGCATTGTGCATTTATTGAATCTGAGGAATGTGGTCTTTTCATAGTTTTTTTGCCAGTGATAACAAACAAGGTTTAAATTTTTTTACATGATGTGTTAAGAGTTTTATTTGAACTGATATTTAATTATAAGATGGGTAATATTTTGTTAGGAGGTGATTGAAAACACTGTTCTCAAGAAGTTTTTAAAAATGTGTTAATTGTTAGGTAAAATGTAGTAGGAGACAGTTCTGTTCTAAATGAACTCTGTAGAATTTTCTGTTATCAACTTTACAACTTGAATTTTTGACTTTAAGAAATCTGTTTATTTTTTTATTATTATTTTTTTTTTTGGAGAGGTTTTCGCTATAGGCGTGTGCTCGCCAGACAGACAGAGAGAGACATAGAGACAGAAAGCGAGAAATCACCCCCCAGGGGGGATGGTCACGCCGCAATCCCTTCTCCTCCATTCTCCTCTCGGGATCTTGGGCACGCACGCACACGCGCCCGGCGTGAGATTTAAGCCACCGGGTCCGAGACGCGAACCGCGGTCGACTACGTGGGAGTCCAGCGACATAGCCATTACGCTAACTGCTGGTTCCCAAGAAATCTGTTTATTTAAATAGATTTCATAAATTCTTTCAGTGTCAAATCTACTGTAGTATTTTTTTTAAAGAACTGTTTTTATTTCATTTTATTTATTCATTCATTTATTTTAATTTGACCAAAGAGAGAGAAAGTAGGAAAACAAGCCAACAAGTCTGGGACTCGAACATGGTCGGCCATGTGGGAGTGTCCAGCGCCTCAGCCATCACACCACCTGCTGGCCCCATCTACTGTCATATTTTAACTCTTAATGAAAAGACAAAAAGATAGAAAGACATTGCTAGATTAGAAAACTCAGTAGCCATGAACACGTCTTATTTCGACATTAATGGCAAAAGGGCAACAAACTAAAAAAACCTTCCTCCTAAGAGGTGTAAAGAATAGGTGCTCATGGTTACTTCAGAGAAGAAAGAAAATATGACATTTAATTATTGAGAGGATAAGAATGTTAGCCTTTTTTAAAACTGATAGGGCATGAAAAGGTGAGAAACCATTTATGTGAAAAGAAATCTGTCATGCTAGAAGTTAGAAAATGTTATGCTTTGGGAACCAGCAGTTAGCGTAATGGCTATGTCGCTGGACTCCCACGTAACCGACAGCGGTTCGCGTCCTGGACCAGTGGCTTAAAACTCATGCCGGGTGCGTGTGCGTGCGTGCCCAAGATCCCGAGAGGAGAATGGAGGAGAAGGGATTGCGGCGTGACCATCCCCCCTGGGGGGTGATTTCTCACTTTCTGTCTCTCTGTCTCTCTCTGTCTGGCAAGCATACGCGCCCTGTAGCGAAAACCTCTCCAAAAAGAAAAAAAAAAGGTTATGTTTTCTAAGCTGTGTGTAACATGACGTTAGAATTCATACCTCATGGGGACCAGCATAATGGCTATGTAGTTGAACTCACATGTAGTCAACCGCGGTTCAAGTCCCGGAGCCGGTGGCTTAAACTCATGCCAGGCATGTGTACATGCATGCCCTAGATCCCAAGAGGAGAATGGAGGAGAAGGGATTGCGGCGTGACCATCCCCCCTGGGGGGTGATTTCTCACTTTCTGTCTCTCTGTGTCTCTGGCAAGCACGCGCACCCTGTAACAAAAACCTCTCGAAGAAAAGAATTCATACCTCATGTTGAAATTTAGTACAGATTGTTCTTACAGACACATTCTTCCAGGGAGATTTTAAATTCAGAATACTTTATGTTTAGGATTTTGTTTTTTATGCACCTCGTTTGAGAATCAATAAACGCATTTTGGCCTTATGCATGGGAAACCATGAGCTGTACATGCGAAGAAGGAAGCCCGACACCATTGAGGTACAGCAGATGAAGGCTCAGGCGAGGGAGGAGAAGCATCAGAAGCAATTGGAAAGGTATGGAATTTATAGCTGTTCATTTTGAGCCGATGGGAACAGGCCTTCTGAAATTCAAGACTTCTCAGTGTCTATCATACTCTACATTTTTGCATTATTTTCATTGTATTAAAATTTAGAAACAGAATTATCACTCGATATATCCTCCTTTAAAACAAGTATGTATAATTTTCGAGTTAGAGATCTTTGACAGGTATTTCTGAGAAAGTAGCTTTTCATGACTTTACATATGTGCGTTTTAGTTTTTAAATCATGCTTACTTTTAACTAACTTTGTTTTAGATGTAGTGATTTGAAATTTTCAAATTTGTTTTGCTTCTGACATTAATTTTTCAGAGTAAGAATATGCTGAATGTAAATTTTGAAATACTATTGGTGACATACACATCATAGAAATTAACTGAAAAGTCACTGTGTAGAGTAGGATAACAGCAATACTCCCTGCCAAAGACACTGATTTTTTTTTTTTTTAAGGTCACAGGGCATACATGGGTGCACATGGGCATGTAAGAGAAGATGAGGGAGGGAGAGAGAGGGTGCATATCCTAATGGGGCCTGGTCATACCACAATCTTTTTTTCCCTCCATTTCTCTATCCTGTTAGCGTCCTGGACACACACATGCCTGGTGTGTTTTTGTGCCCACTGGGCCTAGGACTCGAACTTGACTAGCAGGTGGGATGTGGCATCCTCTGCACAGCACTTACCTGCTGTGCTATAGGCTCAGCCCAGCACTGATCTTTTAAACTGTTTCTCTTCGACCTGAACAAGATGGCATTAAAAATATTAAATTGAGAATTTGAAGAATGGAATGATTCTGAATAAAATAAACCTAGCAACCAGGTGACTGGGTCTAGCAGCATAATTGTCAGATCTAATTCTAGATTAATTTAGACTTTATAGTCTTTATTTGAAGAAATACAGAGACTAAAGTTAATCTTTATTGAATAAATCCTTATAGAGCAATGTAATAACTAAAATACAGATTTTTTTTCTTAAAAAGAAAAGAAAATTGAAGTATTCTGAGTATATGTAAATATACAAGGGGGTCTTCAAAAAGTTTATGGAAATGTGTATTATGAAAATTACACACGTATTTTTAGCAATGTTTGCACATAATTAAACTTGTGTTTTAATTTAATTTTTCATGGACTTAAAAAGTCCATGGAAAATGAAATTTACCCTCATATATTTCAGACATACTGGAAATAAACATGGCTTGTTTTTAGTAGTTACATAGGCTCTCTGCTAGATATGTTGCTACTATACTTTTAGTGTTTGTATTTAATGATTTTTTTCTTAAATGTTCTGTATAATTAAGATGTATTATTAGTTGTATTTACTTTCTAATATTAATTCAAATGATCTACTTTACAGAAGCTGGTTTAGAGAAGCTAATGGCATGAAACTTTTAGTAATTCCTGATCCCATCATTAAAAATACTAAGTTGGGTTGTTATTTTGGGTGAACTCTTGTTCTTTCTTATTGCTCTCATGTGTTTTACAGTTACGTTGTGGCTCTATTAAGTTGTCAGGGAAGTCACGATGTATTTTTCTTATGCCTTGTGACTTTGCCAATGACCCAGTAGTTTACATACTTGTAAAGAATCTCCTTTTTTGAACTTCATTTTCTGTATATTGTAACATCATAGCTTTTAATTTACCACTTTCATAGGCAAAACTTAGTCTCTCTCTATCTCTCTCTTAATCTTTTTCCTTAAAGCTTTCACTGACTATTTAACTTCTGTTATGGTTTCAATGAGAAGTTACTTTATATGCAGTTTCTGTATCTTATATTTATCACTCTATATTATATCTGACTGCCGTGCTTGTCTATAATGTTGATATGCGATTTACATTCTAAATTTAATAGATTTGTCTATGTATCCTTTATTTCTCAACACAGGATTCCGTAGTTTCTAGCATATGTAGTATGTTAAATTGGTACCATTTGGTGATGGTGCTACATTTTAGTTGCTTGAGCCCTAGAAGGAAGTAGAAGACTTAAATTTCTTTTCTGGCACAATAATTCAAGGTCATTCTCTTGGATAAGTTTTACGAGTTTTCGTTAGTAAGCATTTTTTGATGCTTTAAACACAGTAGGAATTCAGTAACTATTTATTTATCTGAATGCCTAGAGTTTATTTTATGTTACTCTAGCCACCTAGGGATTGGCAGTCTTTCAGAAATGACATGCCAAGTCTTCATTTATTCCCTGCTTTACAGGTCAGAGAGAGAGAAATGGCAGCTGTGTATGTGGAAACAATTTTGGTCAAGCCCATTGGCAAAGTAGTCAGCAGATATACTTGGGGGAATGCTCAGAGGTATGCTGCTTGTGCTGCTAGGATCTCTTGGGCAAGAAAAATGCTTGGGAAAGTGCAGCAAGAAGCCTTTTTCCTTAACAATGTCCTTAAGTATATGTGGCTAAAATCTCTGCCCATAGCTCTCTTATCCTTGTTTTTTTGTTGTTGTTGTGTTTTTTTTTGTTTTGTTTTGTTTTTTTAGTGATGAAATGATTTTATATACTATTCCCTATTGTCGCCCTTGAGTTGCTTGCATCCAAATCAAATAATGTCTTGTTCTATAATTCCTAAACATTTTTATATGGCTAGCATTGTTTAAAAATTTAGAACTGAGGGCCTTAGGTTTACAGTTTGGAGTCAGTTACCCATGTGCCAATTGTAGGTTAGCTCCCGGAGATGCTGTGTCATGGCCGGCTGCCTGCGTCACGAAGACATAGTTGGTGTCATATGGAGAACGTAGGCTTTGGAATGAGGCATATCTGGCGTTGAATCCCCTCCTAATACTTGTTGAGCACCTAACTATTGAGTCTGTTTTCCCATGCTCTTGATATGAAATTGTCATTACCTTTAATAAGTAATGACAGTGGCATATAGTCATTGAGCAAAGGACCTGGTGCTTAATAAATAGTAGTTGTTATAGTAATTTATTTATTTAATCTCTCTGTTTACCAAAGGGTACATGCACTCAGGAGAGAGAGAGAGGAGAAAGCATGCCTCAATGGGGCATGGTTACATTGCAATCCCTCCTCAACTTCTCCATCCTGACAGGCTTTTAGGCATGCATGCACACATGCATGGTGTGTTTTACAGGCTCCTAGGATCAGGATTCAAACCAAGCAGTCAGCCATATGGGATCTGCTCCCTAACCACTAGGCCATGGTGCTAGCTCAGTAATTCTTAATGTAATACATAAGTTGAATATAAGTTGGTTTTTAATATTCACTTAAAAATGTAATTGAACTCATTTGCCATTCTTTAAATACAAGATATTCTAAAATAATTTACTTTTTGCATGTTAGTACAGACAATTGATAGATTTTTTTTGTTTCTTTTGATTTGCTATAGGACACATGTGCTTGTCAGAGACAGAGAGAGGGAGGTAAGGTGAGAAATCATCTCCCAGAGGGAGTGGCTATGCCGCAATCCCTCTGTATTATCCACTCAGGACTTTGGGCATGCACATATACATGCACCTGGTGTGATTTTCATGCTGCTAGGCCCAGTTTGGACTACACTGCTGCCCTATAGGATCCAGCCACCTTAACTTCCACACTGTCTGCCAGCCTAGTAAGTTAATATTTTATTTATATCCTGAACAACTAGGTTGAAGTGTTTCTAAACCCAAACTCTAAATAAAAATATCTACATTATAGTTAAGAGTAATCACAAGACTTCATAGGGAAAGTGGGACCTGACCAAGGTTTGACAGAGAGGGAGCAGTATATATACAGAAGAGGAAGCCATCATGAACAAATGTAGAGAGATTAAAATATGCATGGGATGTCTCAGAGCGAGGGAGGAGACCAGATTAGTGAACACTGTTTAGGGGAGAAGCAAGACTTTCCAGTTTCATAAGGAGACAAGACAGGCCTGTAAAAACTAGATATTACTAAGTGGTATGGAGAGTCAGAAGCATTTGTATTAATTGAATTGAGTGTTGGCTGGTGATTTCTGGGCTCAAGGGAGGATTCCTTTATTTATTTATTTTTTTAAGTTTAGCTGTTTGTATCTTCCATAAGTGGAGAGAGAGAGAGAGAGAGAACCCCAGCAGGGACTTGACACTGCCGTCCACCCCCAGAGTCAGCCAGCCCTGAATCATGGGCATGTGCACCAGTCATACTTGGGGGGGAAGTCCTGGACATGAGCCCAGAACGCTCCTGTGTATGTCAGCATCACTGAGCATTATGTTTTATTGTTATGCCATTGTCTGGCCCCTGAGGGAAGATTTTTATAAGATGTGAAACATAAGCCTCACAAGATGGCAGCAGAGTACACTTTTCAAAATGTTTTATATACTGAGATAAAATATCTTCTGTGTATTTATTCCATTTTTCAGTGTGACATCAATTTTTTCCTCAAATTGCTTGTAGTCCGGTTCTCTTCAGTCTTTTCTTCTCTTTCCTTATGTCCTTCAACGTCCTTCTTCCCTGAACACATGAAGCATTGATACAGAAAGCTTAATAAAATCAGTATCCATCCTCAGCAGGGACCATGTATGCCAGAGCTGGACTAAAAGATTCTGAATTGGTAAAATATGATTGTAGCCTTCTGGTCTTAAGACAGGTTTGCAGTCTGAGTCCTCAGGAAGTGTCTCTGGGACTCAAGGAGGAGGCAGGAAGTAGCTGTGAGGAGCCCTGGCAGCACTGGGTATGATTGCATGGAACCTGGGGAGTGAGTGGGACAGACTGATGGGAAAGAG